ATCTGAATCACTTGAAAAATATTTGGGGGTGCTTAACTTTTTTCCAGGTGTATATTTCTTGGGACCATCACACTGTATGAAAATTTGTTCTTCAATGTTTACACACACAAAAAAAAATTCCAAAATTTATGCCCTTGTTGTCTTTGGTAGTTTAACCTACAAAGTACTCCTTGTCCAAGATATTCCGAATAGTGTAGGTTTGTAGTCAGCATTTTACATGGGATGTGGGATACAACAAAGTATTTGTATATGCATAAAATAGTTAAACCAGTCACCGATTTAGTTTTTTCACTTGCAACAAGAGTCAGTGTACTTATGACATACTGGTACACAATACCTTAAATAACCACCCAATAATGACTGGGGTAATAAAAACAATTATATATTTGTATAAGTCAATTTGCAGTTGAAATTACATTCTTCCATTTAATGAATTTGAAAGACAAAAAAAAAACTAACGCGAGTGCTTTGCTTTCCAACAGTTCACTATTTTTCTTCAGGAGAATAAACAAGAATATTGACCTATTGGAAAGCAAGATGTTAGAGTTTTTTGTTTTTAAATTCACTACACCTTTTATGCGTGATTCTGTGTGCTAACTCTTAAAAGAATTATTTTCTGTTTATATACAATAGCTTAATATCAAATGTTCTAGTTCAACTAAGCACATCAACTACCTATAATTGAATTACACTGTGGTCTTCTAACAGAATTTACTAAGCCTATTGACTTTGAGCCCGTGAATTTATTAGTTATAGGGCACCTGACATCATATGAATCACAAAAAAATAAACAAAACAGTGGCTGTAATTAATTCCATTAAGTACTACTAAGGCTTCCTATATATTTTAGATTGATGTTGTAACAAGCAAAAACATAAAATTACTCAATATGTTGACCTCCACCAGTAAGGAAGGATATAAAAACAATATGTTGACCCCCCCCCATCAGTAAGGAAGGATATAAAAACAATGTTGACCCCCATCAGTAAGAAAGGATATAAAAACAATATGTTGACCCCCCCCCCCATCAGTAAGGAAGGATA